CTGCAGCCATGGACCTGTATTCAGCTTCAGCAGAAGATCTAGACACTGTGTTTTGTTTCTTGGTTTTCCAAGAAATAGGAGACCCTCCAAGAAATATGAGCCAACCGGTGATAGACTTGCGAGTAAGAGGGCAGGAGGCCCAGTCTGAATCGCACCAACCAGTGAGAGTAAAATTACTATCGGCGCGGAGAAGGATCCCTTGACCAGGAGACCCTTTTAAGTATCGCACAACTCGTAGAGCCGCATCCCAATGTTCTTGCTTAGGTGCCTGCATGAGCTGAGAAAGAATATGTACGGAATAAGCCAGATCCGGTCGTGTGACGGCCAAATATATCAAACGTCCTGCAAGACGTCTATAGGGTTCAGGATCAGCAAGAGAGGGACCAGAGGCCTGAGCAAGAGCATGATTCTGCTCAATAGGAAAAGATGCGGGTTTGGCCCCAAGTAAGCCAGCTTCAGAGATAATGTCAAGCGCATATTTCCGTTGAGAAAGAAATAACCCCGAAGAACTGCGAGCCACCTCTATCCCGAGAAAATATTTAAGGGTACCCAAGTCTTTTATATGAAAACAGGCACTAAGATAACCCTTAAACGCCTGAATACAATCAGAATTATTTCCAGAAATAACTAAGTCATCAACATACACAAGAACATTTAGTTGTGTATCTCCTTTGGTAAAAGTAAAAAGCGAATAGTCAGCAAAAGATTGTGTGAAACCATAACGCTTCAAGGCCGCCACTAATTTAGCAAACCAACATCGTGGAGCTTGCTTAAGGCCATAGAGAGAGATTTTCGGAGGCGACATACAAGTGTCGAATCTGAGGTTTTAAAACCTGGTGGAATGGTCATATAAACTTCCTCATCCAAATCCCCATGAAGAAACGCATTATGAACGTCCATTTGATGGAGTTCCCAATTTTTAGATACTGCAACTGCCAGAAATGCCCGGACAGTGACCATTTTAGCCACCGGAGCAAATGTCTCAGTAAAATCTAAACCTTCGACCTGCCGATTCCCAAGAATAACCAGACGTGCTTTGAAGCGTTCAATGCTTCCGTCAGAGTTATATTTAATTTTATACACCCACTTGCAGCCCAAGGCACGCTTTCCAGGCGGGAGTGGTTCGAGAGTCCATGTCGCATTATCTTCAAGGGCTTGTATTTCTGAGCTCATGGCTTTACGCCACTCATCGTGAGTCATAGCTTCATGAAAAGATCTCGGTTCATGTCCTGTGGTTAATAAACTTAAGAGGGATTAACTTTGTTGGTTAAACCGAAACCGTTGTGTTGAGGTTATCAATCTCAATTGATTTCATCAAGGAGTTAAGAGATTAAATGCTACTATCAAGTCGGTATATGGCGTTGTTCTATACATGACTAATAGTAAGGGTTATTAATGAACGGTCGTTGTTAATAACTAACCTCGACGAATTGGATATACTCCTCGATTGAGTATTCGAGAGGAGATAAGTTATAGATATAACAATGATCGACTAAAATATATCAACAAGTGGAAAGTAGCAATGCCAAGTCCTTTTTATCTTTGAATTAAATCACATATAAGTTGTTCATCTTCGTGTTTAATTTAATTAAATCACTCGATCCCAAAACCCCCCCTTATTTACTAGTTTTACTAAAAAGAGAATTATTCCTTTCCCTGTGGATACGAACTCTACTTCACTATACTACGTATAAGTGTTAGTATTGAATTTATTTTGACGCACCATGACAAAGTGCACGTCAAACATCTCCTTTGCTAATGAACAATACTACCTTAGGATGTGCGGAATACTCTATTTCATTATCTTTTGTGATCATAGAGCCATTCCAATGAACAAGAATGGCAGTATCCGCACTAGCCATTTCTAAATACAATAGATTAAGAAATATAAAGTATATATGAAGTGAGAAAAAACTATTGTGTCTTGCGGTGAAGAATTAAGAATGAAGTAAGGATTTTAATAGGTGAATGGAGTGTTAGCGTAGGTGGAGAGTGTGGAATGGGTGTGAACACGCGTATGCTTTTGGCATTTGGAAATGGGGTGTCCGAATAAGAGTGGGGTATGGATTTTTAATTTTTGCATTTGGAATTTTGCTATCCGAATGGTTGGGGTATGGATTTTTATTTTTTGCATTTGGAATTTTGCTATCCAAATGGTTGGGGTATGGGTTTTTATTTTTTGTATTTGGAATTTTGCAATCTGAATAGTTGGGTATGGGTATGAGTTTTTGAATTTTATTTAGAAAATACCATTCCCAATTGACCCCACCATACCCAATTTTATTTTTTTTCATTAGGAAACTACCATTCCGAATTGACCCCCCAATTTTTTTCGCCATTCGGAAAATGCCATTCCAAATTGACCCCACCAACATTTTTCTCTCGCCCTAATTCATTCGGAAATTGGCTTTCCGAATCCCGTTTTTTTGTACCCTAATTACAACTCCCGTGGTTTCGGAATTCTGTCTCGGATTTTGGTGCTCTAAGGGAAATTAACCTATCCATTTCAAATCTGTCATGGAGTGCTAAAATTTGTTGATTTTGTTCAATAAGTCTCGAAGTTAAAGTGTATCCTTCTTTCGCTCAACATTTCTTTTTGTCTACTGTTAAGTTTTTTTGGTTGATTATGGATTGTAATTAGGTCGAAAAGTGTGGGATAAAAAGGTTTGAAATTTCACATATGAAGGGCTTTGAAATTAAATTTGTGAGACCTTGTTTATGGCAGAGTTGGCACAACAGCCTTCCGAAGAGGTATTATCTCGCTTACTCTTTTTAGACAATTTTTGCTGCTTATTGTGTTCCTGTGACTGCGTATGTATAACCATGCTTAAAAATATGCTATTACACACATAACAACTGGTTCCAATTTGTCAGATTAACTTTTTAGATTGTGGAAATAAATGCTTTATGTAGTTCCAATGGGAAGAAGTAGCTAGTTTTTGTCATTCATATGTTCTATTATTTGGATTAGGGTGGCCGATTCTACCAATTTTGTTTCAAACTGAGAGGTAACTTGTTTTTTATTAGTGACTGATGAAACAAAGATGATTTTCTTAGGTATGTATCATATGTTGATTTTAGGACTTTGGTGATGCACTTTATTGTTGTTTCCTTTCGTTATTTTTTTTATAATTTCTTTATTTTTTCTTGATCTTTTAATTTGATGGTAGTTTTATATGTTAGTTGCTGCTTCCAAGGATTTTCATTCCGCTCAGTGAATACATATACAAAAATAATACGTAAGGCTAGTTTTGGTTTGGTACTGAGGGATATGTGATTAAAAGAAGATAAAAGTTATCTCTTACATTCATCTCATTATCAATAAGAGAAGATAAAACATATATATAAATGCATCATCTAACTAATCATATACTCTTATATATAGTCTGAGATTAACTCTGAGATTAACTAAACGCAAAGTAGCAATGATTGTTTGTTAATTTTTAAATAGCATCGTTTCTATAGCTTTGTAATGTTTAGTTATGCTTTATGACATCGATATTGCCTTATATACATACTGGGGCAATGTGAGATTGAATTACGCTTCTAAGGGCATCCACATTGTTTAGATTATTTAGAGTTTATTGGATGATGTGTAAGATTATTTTAAAGATTATCATTGTGGGTGAGAGATTATTTAGAGAGATTATTGAAAAAGATAATCTGGTATCAAGATTTGAATCCCAAATTATATTAGGTTGTAGTTAAATTTCATTTAATGCATGGTCTAGAAAAACTAAATTATTTGATTATCATGGTTGATGGAGAGTTTTAAGATTTGAGATTATTTAAAATTTATTTAACAAATTTGATGTGTCATAGAAAAACCATTTATTTTAAGATCATGAATGGAGATGCTCTAATTTCTATGCTATGATAATAAACAATCAATGCCAAGTCAAGGTTCACTTTTGAATAAAAACATATTTTGAGTTCAAAACTTCGAACCAATCATAATTAAGAAATTATTTACCCATTATATAAAATGAACGGATAAAGGTTTCTTAATTGATTTATTGATTAGGTTCATTATACACACATGAAATTGAATTTCTACAACCATATATGTTTTTTAACATCAATTTTTTTATAACTAAGTCAGATCAAAGTAATTATTAGAAAATAACTTTTCTTTTAACATTTATGCAGATGCTTGGTGTTACGGTTATAACTTAAGACAAATCCAATCCCAATATATTCTGTTGTTGCACGTTGTAACTCTTGGAGCGGAAGCATAGCTCGTAATTAGCGGACTTCTAGCTGTACATATATATTTTATATTTATTCTATTTTATTACTTTCCTTCTTTATAGAAGATTTTGTTGTATTGGAGTTGTATATATGTAAACCTTCGGTACTTTCAATAGATGAGAAAACATTTTGCCAAACTGGTTCGTGTAGTTTAATATGGTATCAGAGCACCTTTGAACTACACGCTACCTTTGTTCACGATATACGACCATACGGCCATGACGATCAACGACAACCAACCGAGGAGGAAGATTAACGACCCAACCTCCCCTTTTTGCCTGTCCAGTTCAGATTTCCTAGGTCTGAACATTTGCGGCATGACATTGAAAGGAGAACGCAACTATCGGGAATGGGCGATTTCGATGAAGAATGCCTTGCAGACCAAACGTAAGGTTGGATTTGTGGACGGATCAATCAAACGACCCACAGAACCGATTGAAGACGTGGAGGATTGGATAACTGTGAACTCCATGATAGCCGGATGGATCATGACATCGATTGAGCCGGTATTGCGGACGAACATCGCCTTCATGGATGAAGCACGTGATCTCTGGAACGATCTCAGGGTTCGTTTTGCCGTGGCAGATTCAATGCGGACATACGAACTGAAAGATCTAATCCAAAATTGGAGGCAGAATGGGGCGGCAATCACGGACTATTTTGGCCGATTGAAGAATTTGTGGGAAGAACTTGATGACTACAAGACTATTCCACGATTTGAATGCCGAGGCTGTAAGTGTGAAATTGAGAAACAATTTCTCAAACAAATTGAAACTGAGAAGTGCCACGATTTTTTACTCGGTCTCGACAAAGACATGTTTGGGGTCCTGCGTTCGAATATACTCAGCCAAGAGGAGCTGCCTTCCCTGACTAAGTTATACAACATTATCACCCAAGAAGAACGTCATCGCAACATGATCCGAGGTCGGGAAGAAAAACCGGAGGTTACCGCTTTTGTTGTGAGACAGAGTGCACCTACACAAGACGGCGAGCAGAAACTTGTGTGTGGGTATTGCAAGAAAAATGGACATGATACCGACCATTGCTTTAAACGCATTGGGAAATATCCCGAGTGGTGGTTTGACAACCTGGGAAGAGGACGCGGTGGACGAGGTCGTGGGGCAGGAAGGGGGCGTGGAAGGGCAGTTGCAAATGCGGTGACGCACACATGTCCTGAAGACACTGCCGCACAGCCCAATGAAGACAAGGCCGAGTCTTCTGCCTCACGAGTGCCACCGATGTTCACCAATGAGCAGTGGCGTGTTCTTGTGAAAGCGGTGGAGAATTTTTAGGTCGCTTCATCTAATGAAAAGTTGACAGGTATGACTACTGACCGTACGTGGCTCTTGGATTCCGGGGCCTCGTATCATATGACTGGACTAGAAAATATTTTTTATCACAAGCAACAGGTGCCGCCACTGTCCGTTACTTTACCTAATGGGGAAGTAACACACGCTACATATATGGGACATATACAGATTAGTTCTCATATTAAACTGACAAATGTTTTGCTCGTACCCGGACTCCGGTGCAATTTAATTTCTATAGCACGATTGATTGATGATGCTAGATGCGATATATTTTTTACTAATCAGGTTTGTGTGATACAGGCCCTACCTACGAGGACGCCGATTGGAGTGGGTAGAAGATGCGGGGGGGGGGGGGGGGGGGGTCTACTATTTTCACAGTATGGAAGAAATTTGTGCACATCAAGTGGGAATAGTGGACTTAACGGACTTATGGCATGCACGATTGGGACACCCTTCAGCTTCAGTAGTGCGTAAAGTTTCGAGTTTTACTAATAATATTCCTAGTTCTCAGTTAGAAAATAAGGCTTGTGATGCATGTTTACGTGCTAAACAAACTAGAGCCGTGTTTGATTTAAATTCCGCTCGTGTTATTGAATGTTTTGAAATGATTCATTGTGATGTATGGGGTCCTTATCGGTATTCTTCTTCCTGTGGTGCACGCTATTTTTTAACAATTGTGGATGATCATTCTCGTGTGGTTTGGGTACATTTGTTGCTTAACAAAGGAGAAGTTGGAACTATTTTGAAACATTTTTTTGCTATGACTAAGAGGCAGTTTAATAAAGATGTTCGTGTTGTACGAAGTGATAACGGGAAAGAGTTTATTGCACTGAAAAATTATTTTGATGAACATGGGATCGTTTTTCAAACTAGCTGTGTCTATACGCCGCATCAGAACGGGCGTGTTGAACGAAAGCACAAACATATTCTGGAGGTCGCTAGGGCGTTACGTTTTCATGCTAATTTGCCTATTCATTTTTGGGGCGAATGTGTGTTGGCTGCCGGGTATTTAATTAACCGCTTACCTTGTCGACTCTTGGATCACAAAAGTCCTTATGAAATTTTGTACAACAAAATTTCATGCTATACTAATCTCCGTGTGTTTGGATGTTTGTGCTACGCCCATGAAAAAATGTACTTGGTGATAAATTTGCACCTCGTGGCGTTAAGTGTGTTTTTCTTGGGTATTCTTATTCCCAAAAGGGATGGAAAGTTTTTTATCTTGAAAATCAGAGGCATTTTGTATCCCGAGATGTTCGGTTCTTTGAGAATCAATTCCCGTTTGCTTCTAATCCGCCATGCAACGTAAATGAACTTGATGGGGATCGTGCGGCTCCCATAGACGGTGCTAATTCTCATCATACTCACGAGTGGCTACGGTTGGTTGATGACAAGGATATACATGCTGATGAAGGTGGAGCCAACACCACAAACGACACGGGTACAACTATTGCTTCACCACCACATACATCCGTTGATGACTCCACACTCCTTCATTCCAGCGAGGCTCAGTCAACAGGGATGACGGGTGATCATACCTTTACGGCAGTGGGTAACGTGGCACCAACTCAAACTTCACCTGCTTTGAGACGAAGTAACCACACACGTGGAGTACCAGTATGGCAGAATGATTATGAAATACAATTAAATACTGTGAAAATGGTTTCTGCCCCCAGTCAACTTCCTACTCCGATCGTCCCCTCAGGTACACCTTATCCCTTATCTGATGTAGTAAATTATAATCGTTTTTCTGTGCAGCATCGAGCCTTTCTTGCTGCTATCAGTGCAAACCGTGAGCCTCAGACATACAAAGAAGCGGTTATATCACCTCACTGGAGGGAGGCTATGCAATGAGAGATAGATGCGCTCGAGCGCAATGGCACGTGGCAAGTGGAACAATTACCTCCCGGCAAACGAGCTATATTTTGTAAATGGGTGTACAAAATTAAGTATAAGAGTGACGGTCCATTGACAGATATAAAGCTCGTCTTGTTGTGTGCGGGAATCGCCAGGTTCATGGATTGACTATCATGAGACTTTTGCGCCTGTCGCTAAAATGGTGACAGTACGCACCATTTTATCTATTGCCGTTGCACGTGACTGGGAACTGCATCAGATGGACGTTGACAATGCATTTTTGCATGGAGACTTAGGCGAGGAGGTATACATGCATTTTCCACCAGGCTATTTGGCATCTGCTCCCGGGAAAGTCTGTCGTTTGATAAAGTCTTTGTACGGGTTGCGCCAGGCACCCCGATGTTGGTTTTCTAAACTCACACAAGCCCTTCGTTCTTATGGCTTTATACAGTCCGGTGCAGATCATTCCCTTTTCACTTTTCGTGCATCAGGGAAAATATTATGCATTTTGATTTACGTAGATGACTTATTGATTACAGGCAATGACCATCAGCTAATTCTTGATTTTAAGCTTTACTTGGGTAAACATTTTCCTGTTAAGGACTTGGGTTCTATGAAATATTTTCTTGGCATTGAAATAGCACGCAACCCCACTGGGATATTTTTGTGCCAACGAAAATATGTTCTGGATATCTTATCTGAAACAGGTCTGCTGGGAGCTAAACCTGTGTCTTTTCCAATGATTCAAAATCATGGGCTTCAACTTGATGATAGTCCGTTTTATGAGAATCCTGAACAATATCGCCGGTTAGTTGGGAAACTTATCTATCTCACAATCACTCGGCCGGATATTTCCTATTCCGTGCATATTCTTTCCCAATTCATGCAGCAACCGCGTATTTCGCATTGGGAGGCTGTAGTTCGTGTCTTGCGGTATCTTAAGGCACACCCAGGTCAAGGAATACTTTTACGATGTGATTCGAACCTCTCTTTGACTGGTTTTTGTGATTCGGACTGGGCGAGTTGCCCGACTACCCGACGCTCTATTTCTGGATATTTTGTTATGTTAGGGTCCTCTCCTATTTCATGGCGTACCAAGAAACAAAACACGGTTTCACGATCCTCGGCTGAAGCTGAATATCGGTCCATGGCACTATTAACATGTGAGTTATTATGGCTCAAGAGTTTGCTTTTGTCACTCGCAGTTTCCCACTCCCAACCGATGCGGCTGTTCTGTGACAACCAGGCGGCCCTTCATATTGCGTCTAACCCGGTCTATCACGAGCGGACAAAACATATTGAAATAGACTGTCATTTCTTGTGGGACCATATTAGCTCAGGCGCCATTCTCCCTTCCCATCGGTCCACTACCGAACAACTAGCCGATGTCCTCACAAAAGCTCTTGGTCAAAGACAGTTCGAATATTTGTTGTCCAAGATGGGTATTCGGGACCCTCATAGCCCACCTTGAGGGGGGGGGGGGGTGTTGCACGCTGTAACTCTTGGAGCGGAAGCATAGCTCGTAATTAGCAGACTTCTAGCTGTACATATATATTTTATATTTATTCTATTTTATTACTTTCCTTCTTTATAGGAGATTTTGTTGTATTCGAGTTGTATATATGTAAACCATCGGTACTTTCGATAGATGAGAAAACATTTTGCCAAACTGGTTCGTGTAGTTTAATATATGTCCCAAAGTGATTGAACTTGAAAGTGTTTGCTAGTGTTCATGAGGTAATTTCTTCACATTTTGTTACATCAATGCATATCTTATACTACGTATATACTTGAGGTATATTGTGATCTTGTGCCTTTTATATCGCCAGTAATATGATGTTTGCTTTTTCCATTTTTTGTAAAGTAGGCAACTCTCTTACTAGTTTGAAGAGGCAGAACACCATACAACATGCTAAGCACTTGATTCCTTTCTTAAGTAAAAGATAGCAGTTTGTTTTGACATTCGGTAAATATGTGATCTCATTTATTGATCGTCTAGATGATTCAATATATACCTATCCTTCCTTTTATTTCGTTCTTTGTGCTGTTTCTAATTAATGAAACCTCAACTTAATCTTGATTTTGCTTTAGAGCATCTTCAATGGTACAATGTGCACGGTGCACACGTGGCATGAGAGATGACCACATAAATATTAGTAAATAAATTATTTCTCTCCTTATTTAAATGATTTTATACAGTTTTGGTAAGTTTTTGTCCACAATGTCAAGGAGACCGTCTAATGTTGACATTGTTGTTGACATTGCAGGGAAAAACTTACCAAAATTGTATAAAATCATTCAAATAAGGAGAGAAATAATTTATTTGCTAATAATTATGTGGCTATCACTCATGCCACATGTGCACCGTGGACATTATAGCATTGGAAATGCTCTTAGTAGATCGACCCACAATTTCTGAAATGCTAATTTGGTTTTCTTTGTCTTTCCAGGATGATGAGAAGTAGTACCAACAATCCAATGAATGAAGAGGCATGCTGATTGCGTGTTTTTAGAAATCAGGGGTTTTGCGAGAGATACATAGCTATTTTTCTTGGGAGATGAATCATTTTCTTTCTCCTCATACGCAGTGTATGCTCAATTAATGGATCATCATATTATTTGTTAGTTCTTGATAATTAACGGCTTGGAATATAATAGTAATAGACCTACATTTGATTGCTCCCACCCCATAATACGTACCCTTTTCCCGATCAAACACTGCACTATATTGTAGCCTGCAGGGACGGAGGTATGTATAATAGCAAGGGGGCCATTGCCCCCCCCCCAAGTTTTTTTTAGTTAGTAGTTGTTGGAAAAATGTGTGAAAAATTGCATTAAATGGCTATTTTGGGGCAATTTTTTGAGTGGGGTCCACTTCCGATTTGGGTCGGGTCAAAGTGGTTTCGGATTGTCCTTGTTAAGGACTAAAATTCAATATATGGTACGCTCAAAACGGATAACGGGTGAATGAGAAATCGCTTTTCGAAGTTTACCCGTTAGAATGGAAAAACTGGGAAAAAGGATGAGTTTCTAGTGTTAATTTCCCACACCGGAAAACCCAAGGGATTTGCAACCCTTTATAAAGGGACTCTCCCCTTAAGGAGTTAAGATTCCTTAGGGTAGAGGCTCTCTCCACGCGCGCAGGGGGGGTGCAAATCAAATCCCGAAATCGGAGAAAAAAAAACCGCGACTTGCGTGCGCGGGTGACCTGCGGACACGAATGTCGTCCAAAAATCCATCTCTCAAGAGATACGGGTAATTTTTGTTTTCTTCCCGAAACGTATATTTTTCCCAGTTAACAGAAGTACTCCGGAACAGAAGGCTTCGATCAGAGACCCTCTGGTGGCCGCGTACCAGCGTTAAATGGACGATTCAATGCCCAACGGTCTGGTCATTGATGTCCAACGTTCACGTACTAATCTACTTATTTACTAAACTCTTCTAAGATGTTTACGACAGTAACGTATTTTTCCGGTGTCATTCATATACGTAGTATAATGCAAGAAACATTTGTACTCTTTTGTAGTTAATCTGACAGCCACAAAAATTAGGAGATACTTCGTACAGTCCATGTGTAGGTGCATACATTTTTACAATTTGTGAAAAATGTATTAATGCAAAGAAATAGAAAATGAAAAGTAAACCAAAACTTGCTCTTCTTGAATAGAGATGTTACATAGGTTACTTCAACGTGTCATTTACAAAGACAACAAATATATTTCTTTTCATTTCTTTTTATTTTAAATAAACTTTGGCAAATGTTCACCGACATT